CGCGCGCCAGGGAGGGGGGTCCAAGAAGTCCGTGCGGAGCGCCAAAAGGTACATGCTTATGGCGTGTCTGTCCTTCTCCTTCTTCTTCTTCTTCTTCTTCTTCTTCTTCTTCTTCTAGGTCTGTCCTTTTGCGTCCCCTAGCAATCACGCAGGGGGGCACCGGCTGGGCAGTCAGGGGCAGCAGCAGCAGCCCCAGAAGGGCGGCAGTCCAAGGGTGAAGTCGGGCCCGTCGGTCTCCAAGAGGAATATCATCAATTATCCCAGTGCGACCCTACCTAGGAGTTGGAACCCCTAGGAAAGCAGCATTAGTAGTAACAGTAACGCTAAGCTAAAGCTAAGCTAAAGCTAAGCTAAAGCTAAGCTAAAGCTAAGCTAAAGCTAAGCCACAGCTAAGCTAAAGCTAAGCTAAAGCTAAGCTAAAGCTGAGCGACAGCTAAGCTAAAGCTAAGCTACAGCTAAGCTAAAGCTAAGCTAAAGCTAAGCTAAAGCTAAGTTAAAGCTAAGCTACAGCTAAGCTCAAGCTAAGCTAAAGCTAAGCTAAATCTAAGCTAAGCGCTAAGCGAAAAGCTAAGCGAAAGGCTAAGCTAAAGCTAAGCTACAGCTAAGCTAAAGCTAAGCTAAAGCTAAGCTAAAGCTAAAGCTAAAGCTAAAATTAAAGCTCCCAGGGGACTGGGGGGAACCGCTCCCAGGGGACTGGGGGAACCGCCCGGGGCGCTTTGCACTGCCCGGCCCCTTTAAGCTAAGAGAGTAAGAACCTTTCTAGGCAGAGCCTAGGTAGGGAACAACAGTAAAAAAAAGTTCGGGGACGATTCTTGTACCATTTTTGGATGCTTTAGTGTATTTTTGGGGTATCTTCAGTTTTTCGTCCAAAATCCCCTTGTAGTGGAGGATGACGATTGATAAATGACCGGGGGTCGTGTTCGCGCGGCGGCGCCCGTGATGACGATTAGGAAAACCGGCCGCGGGCTGGACAACTATCTTTTTATCGCTCTCCTCCAGTCAGAAATGTGTGCAGAGATAGCAGGAAGCTATATTTGTGAATCGTTCTCTCCAATTTTTTTATTAAGCTCACTCTGACTCATACGCAATCACTCGCATTAGGGGTCACTCGTCTTCGTCGGCCCTGTCGCCCACGTGGACGCGCTATTGTAGTCGACCGCTCATGAACAGACGCTCACAACGGCATTACATAAAACATGAGATGCACATATGGGGAGCTCCACGCAGTGAGTAATTTATTCATCGTCATCCCGCAGTAGCGGGACGTGCCCGACTTGATGCAAGGGGCGAGGAGCGGCAGCAGAGGCGAGGAGCGGAGAGGGGAGAGGGCGGCGGCACGCCTTTCGGTGCCACCGCGGCCGCGCGCGCAGCGGCACGGCGGAGTCGGGCAGCGCACAGCCAACACTCAGGAGGGGAAAAAACACACAGACACAATTAATCGTCGATTCCCCAGAAAATATGGGAAGATATGGGAATTGGGCGGGAAGACAAAAACCCAGAAAATATTGGAAAATATGGGGGATCTTTTTATGTGTGTGTATTTATTTGTGTGTCCTGGGGCCCCTTCAAACACGTATAATATGCACGCCCGAAATGGGTACTGAAAGAATGGGTACAATGCCCAACAGCAGTTCCTGTCCATTTTGAACAGGACTCGCTGTCCGCGCCGCCGCGGCCTGTGTCCATTTGAGGCAGAAGACCGCCTGCCCAACAGCGGCCGCTGTTGGTTCGGGACAACATTTGCTGTTGGGCATTGTGCCCATTGTTTCCGTGTTCATTTCGGGCGTGCGCGATGGTCAGGAGGGAAAATATTCACACAGACACAATGGAGTGTCGATTCCTTCGAAAATATTGGAAAATGGGGAAGAGGAGGGGGCAAGACGAGGACCCGGAAGATATGGGAAAAAGGGGGGATCCTGGGATTTGTGTGTATTTGTTGGTGTGTCCCTGGGCCCCCTCAGATGAGGATGCAAAAGGGGTCTCGGAAGGCCATGCCGATACCTTTCGAGCAGAGAGCGGCCAGCGAGAGTGGCCAAAGATGGGTCAGAGGGGAAGGGCGCAAGGGTAATCTCGGAACGTCTCTCAGCCTCACCATTCGTATTGGCTGCAGTGGCACACGTTCCTCCGCCGATGATGTGACACCACATTCGCGGGTCAAGTATGCACGGGGCGCGTCCACACGAGTTGCATCCAGGTAGTGGCACACATTTTCGCTTCGGGGCGTCACGGCCGCGCGCGCAGCAGTGCGGCGGAGGTGGGGTAGCGGAAGCGGCTAGAGGATGCCGCGGCGGTCGCGACCAGGCTCTCAGAGGCCTGGGACACAAGCACGCACACACACACACACACGTTGTCTCCTCGTCCAGCGATGTGGAACCACGGTCGCGCGCAGCATGAAAGGCACGCATCAACATCAATCGCACCCGACACCAGCAGCAGGAGGCGGAGACCCCGACCAGCCGGTGTGCAGCGGCTGGGCTGCTTCGGGACTGGCGCGGGGCAAGTGGGGCCCCGTCGCGAGTGCGGGAGGAAGGCGAGCCAGCCACGGTGGAGACGGCGGAGTGCCACCCTACGGCCGAGCACGTGCACCCGCGATCGTCGGGTGCGCCGCCAGACACACACAGACGCACAGACACACACACACACACACACACACACGCGCACGCACGCACGCACGCACGCACGCACGCACGCACGCACGCACGCACGCACGCACGCACGCACGCACGCACGCACGCACGCACGCACGCACGCACACACGCACGCACGCACGCACGCACGCACGCACGCACGCACGCACGCACGCACACACGCACACACACACGCACACACGCATACACGCTCACACGCGCACACACAATCGCACATGGATTCGGCGGGGAATTACGCAGTACCTTGACCGTAATCCGCACACGCGTGATATGCACACTTCATGGCGTGGCGGCCACGTGCGCATCATCGCGGCGAAGTCAGGCTGCCAGCCCAAGAGGGCAGAGCTCGACAGAGGCGCAGCTCCGAAACAGCAGAGCGTGCCGACAAGACATGCACGCGCACACATGATTGATTTCTTGAGCGGGGGTATCAGGTGTTTGGCTCTGTAGCACACGCACGTGCTCGCACGTGCATCCTGCCTGTGTTTCCTCGGACCCGTGCGCTTGCTCTTTCTCTCTCTCTCTCTCTCTTTCTCTCTTGGCCGATATTTCCGCCCTTTTCCCATGTGCGCAATGCCCGACGCATAGAATTCGAGTCTGTTTGGCTATTAAGTCGCCGCAGCTACGCTGAGGGCGCATGAGCCATGAATATAATATAGGAGTGATCCTGGGAGAGGGAAGTCATTGGATACACGGCGATCGTCAGTGAGCCGCCTCACAACAGTTGCAGTGACCATTGACATGGCAAGTGCCACGCGCCAAACGTGACTCCCGCAGCGCTGCACAACTCAGTTGACCTTGCCTCGAACTTCTACATGCGACTCCGGAAAATATGCCAGTGCTTGTGGGACTGCCAGCCAGTGGCTCAGCGCGGGCAAGCCAATCGCAGCCTTTGTTGGTGGGGTTGATCGCGAAGTCGGGCAAGTGCTATAGGCTATAGCCGATCCAGCCTCGCATCAAATGATGTGGTTCCTTGTGCAGGATGAGCTTTTAACCTTCGAGAAATCAGGAGTGAACCGCGCCCAGGACGATGCCCCACGGAGTTGTCCACTTTGTCAGAGACCGTTAGTCAGATCACCAGCGTTAAGGAGGGCGGGAATGGGGAAGAGTGGGCCTTGGTGTATGAAAGTTGCGTGCAGTATGAAAGGACAGGGTGTGGCAGGGTGGTGTCGTGTAGTGCTGTGGTAAACCCTTCTAGAAGAATTAGAAGCAAGAGAAAGAGGCTGCGTGGTGTTGAGTACAATCGAGCATGTCGAGACACCCACTAGCCTCGCCGATCATGTGCATGTGCTGGTTCTCAAGCGCCTGTTTGGAGTCCGTGTTGGCAGTGACTCCTTTGAGCCTCCAAAACGACCGCGTGTGAATCTGCGTCGAAATCTTGCGTGGAACGTCCTCCAGCCGAGGTCCAGGGTTTGAAATCAAAGGAAGAGTAGGGAATGGGAGAGAAGAAGGAGAGGAGGAGGAGGAGGAGCAGGAGGAGGAGGAGAGGAGGAGGAGGACGAGGAGGAGAATGTGTAGGAGGGGGGATGGGAGTGAAGGAGAGGAAGTGGTGCACAAGCTAGGTGCGCTCGCGCCATATTTGACATCCTACCCTTCCCACTCATCCCTTCCCAGTGCGTTGTTTGTCGCTATCCGCCGACGCGTGTCACAGCCGACCTCGAACTCCAAAGAGGATTTCATTCTGTTTTGCGCAATCAGAACCCGGGAGGTGCGTACTCTAGAGGAGGAGGTGGCGGATGAACAGGAGGATGAGCATGAGGAAGAACGAGGAGGAGGATGCGGAAGAAGGAGGACGAGGACGAACAACATCAGCATGAGCTGAAACGGAAGAAATGAGCGGGAGGAACAGACGGACCAGGGGAAGGCGGAGGAGGGGAGAGCACAATTCTGAGCGACGGGAGCAAAGCATTGGTCAGAAAATGAGACCCGCGCCGAAACGAGAACACCATTTCAAAACACCAAAAACTATCGGATTACAAAAAGCCGTGCGAAAAGAAAAAAACAATCATGGCGGAACTTCTTCCAGACGGAATCAGGAGAGAGGGGATAGCAGTATTCACATTGAGGATTTGTAGAAGTGGAGTAGCAATATGAGTTGAGGAGCAAGAGAAGCAAGGGGAGGAGGGGGAACACGAGGAGGAGCACAGGGGAGGGAGGTTTATGGGGAGGAGGGGGAGCAAGAGGAGCAAGGAGGACCGAGGGTGGAGGAAGAGAAGGAGGAGGAAGAGGAGGAGGAGGAGGAGGAGGAAGAGGAGGAGAATGAGGCGGCGGGGGCGGAGAAGGTGGCGACGGAGGCGAAGGAGGCGGACGGGGGAAACAGAAGGAGAACATCCGTGGGCCTCTCTCCCCGAGGCGGTGGTCGCGAAGCTCGAGGCTCTGTTCAAGCTTTGCGACAAGGATCGCGCGGCCCAGACCAGATCGCTGGTGAGGCGTTCGGGGCGCGGGAGCGACTGGCGAGGCTGCGGTGCCGCGGGCCAGATTTTGGGTGTTGCGGTGAGGAATTTTAGCCTGGCGTGTCACTCCACCTCGTCCTCCTCCCCCTCCTCCTCTTCCTCCTCCTCGTCCTCCTCCTCCTCCTCCTCCTCCTCCTCCTCCTCCTCCTCGTTCCTCGTCCTCCTCCTCCTCCTCCTCCTCCTCCTCCTCCTCCTCTGTTCCACCACGGTTCGGCGCGACACGCCGACCACTTCCCCCTTTCCAAGCGTCACCGTCCCGAGCCTTCTTGAGCCTCCCGCCCCGCGAATCGGAGCGACGCACTGTCCGCACTGACCGCTCGCAAGGCAATGCGCCTCGCCGGGGCCGCCGCACCCGCGACGCGCTCGGCAAAGGTGCCGGACCGCATGGTTTTTTTTCTCCCCCCCCGCGGGCCTGCGAGAGCCTCCTCGTCGCCACAGCTGGATTCCCTTCGAAGCTCTGGGCAGAGCGACCCCGTGGCTCCGGCCTGGCATCGCTCGGACGTGTGCATTTTTCCTTCGCGAGGACCATCGAGGAGCATCCTTGATCACTTCGCGCAAAAAACCACGCACGAAACCTAACAAAAGCACAGGAAATGGGCGTCCGAGCGATGGCCAGCCGGAGGCCAGGCGGACAAAAACTTCTGCGTCGAGGGCACGCGGCCCCCCTGGAGGGATGGGGTCCTGCCGCTGGCAGCTGCAAGCTCTGGGGCCCCGGAGCCCTCGCCGTGCCCCGGGTCCGCCCGGTGCCGGGGGAGGTCCTCGCGACCATCATTATGTCGGGCCTGTCCCCCTACAGGGGGATTTTCGACGAAACATAAAAAATACCCCCAAATCAGTCAAAAGATAGTCCAAAAATAGTCCAGGGACTATTTGTTGAGTATGTTGTACCTTTTTGGTGCATTTTGGGAGTATTTTTCATGTTTCGTCGAAAATCCCCCTGTAAGGGGACACGCCCGACATAAGACCATCAGGACACTGCTCGGGATGCGTGATCGTACGTTTGTTTCGGGCGATCCTCACCAGGGAATTTCTGCGAGTGGCTTCCATGGCAGTCACGCACACGCTGCCCGGGCTATATGATGACTGCGGATGCGTAGTCGTTGCGCGTGCGCTTCTTGATCGGTGGCATGCTGCTGTGTGGTGCGGCGGCGGCATGCTTGATGTATAATATCATTCCGTAGTTTGCCCGATGGAGGCTTGCTGTGTATTCCATGGGTGCATGTTGCTGATGCATGCTGCTGGTGCGTGCTTATTGAAAAATCTACAGCGTGTGGGGTCGTCATTTAGTGAATTGATGCTTGTCGTATGTCGACTTTGTTGGTGAGCGATCCTGGTGTATGTTTTTGAACGTCTGTCCGTGATGTATGTTGTTGGTGCTCGTTGTTGTTGAGTTCTCATTCCTGAAGAATAATTATTGTTGATCCCCCCTCACCGGTGCATACTGTTTTTTCTAAATCAAAGTGTGCCCCTCGACACTCGCACCCTGCTGTTTGACAGGGAAAGTCTCCCTGCTCAAACTGGCACCCTGGCCCCCGGGTTACAACAACAACGGCTCCCGCTTGAGACTTCCTTACAATTTAGCCAGGACCCCCGCTCCCGCCCGAGACTTCCTCGCATTTTATTTCGGAATCGCGCTCTCGCTTGGGACTTCCTTAAAACTTATTCAGGAATCGTTCTCCCGGCGCTCTGGAGTCGCGCTCTCGCTGGAGACTTGCTTGCAACTTACTGAAGAATGGCTTTGCGTTGGAATTTCCTGCAATTTGCCCAAGCTCCGCGCTCCCGACACCCAGGCACCCAGGAGTCGCGCCCGTTGTGGCCCCATGTGCATGCCCTTCGTGGCCCCGCTGTCGCCATTTCTGCCCCCTTCACTGTCCTACGTGGCCATTCCCTCCGTGTCCCCGCTGTCGCCCTTCGTGGCCTACTTCGCGCCCTTCGTGGCCCTGCTGTCGTTCTCTCTCGCTCTCGCTTTCGCTCGTCGTCGCCGTCGTCGTCGTCGTCGCCGTCGTCTTCGACGTCGTGGTCGTCGTCGTCGTCGTCGTCGTCGTCGTCGTGGTCGGTCCCCTGTCCGTCCCTCTTGGGGTCGGGTCGACGGTCCGCGGCCGCCCCGCCGATCAGCGCTGCCGCTGGCCAGGCCGACGATCCGCGGCCGCCCCGCCGCTTGCCGGGGCCCGGCGTGCAGGGAAGAAAGGTATACCCCCCAAAAGGGGTTCGATCGAAGACGAAGAGGGCGGGTATCGAGGGTTTGGGAAATACGCGTTATTGGACACTCGAGCATATAAGGGCGAACAGTCTTAAAATGATTGTTGTTGTTGCGGTTGTGTGTTATTGGCCTGCATTGTTTTTATCTGTGGCTGTATCGTATTGGTGTGCGCGTGTGCGTAATTAATCATGTATCAGGTGTCTGGGTCATGCAGCATGTTTTGCAGTAGCTTCGCCATGCATGTTGGTCAGTCTGGTTTCCCTCCCTGCCTTTTTTCCAGAGGCTTCAGTTTACGATGCCGAGATCACTCAATCTTCCAGATGTGAGAGGCACGTGCTCTCTCGGCGCCGCAGAGGACAACAAGGGGTACGTCACAATCGAGGAGGACAGGAAACTTACCGAGGCGATGGGCTTCACGTACGACGAGACTTGCAAGGCACACTTCAGGAGCGCGTGCGCGCGGAGCGATTGGAGGTTCCCGGCGTGTGCGCCGGAGAGGAGCGGGGAGGCGGGGAGGAGGGAAGGGTGACCCGAGGACAGAGCTGCCACGCATCCACCGCCTGGGGGGAGCCGACGCCCCAGGACCCCGGGAGGCAGGCCGTGGAGGTACAGCCGGGGCCCTGAAGAAGGAACCCTTTTCGTTGGGGAGGGGCTCGGTGTTCCTTGACTGTTCTACAGTCTGCCTTCTGTTTTCCTGAGGTTTCCCACGGGAAGTCGAAGTTCAACTTACGGGAGAAAGGGGCCCCGTTCCTTATTTAGGGCTCCTTAGGGCAACGCCCCGACTGTAGACGGGCGGCGGCCGAACAGCAATCACTCGAGCTGCCGGGGGGGGAGGCAGGCAGCGGATGGAGCGGGGGGGAAGGGAGGAGGAGGAGGAGGAGGAGGAGGAGGAGGAGGAGGAGGAGGAGGAGGAGGAGGAGGAGGAGGAGGAGGAGGAGGGGGAGGAGGAGGAGGAGAGGAGGAGGAGGGAGGAGGGGGAGGAGGGGGAGGAGGGGGAGGCGGGGGAGCGCGCTGGCGGCGGCCAGGTCAGGGGCCCCGGGGGCGGGGCCCGGGGCCAAGAGGCTCTTCCTTGCTCCCCGCCTGCCCCCGCGCGCTGCCGGCGTCGAGCGTCTATTACTCAGGAGGAAAAAAACACACAGACATAATGAATCGTCGATTCCCCAGAAAATATGGGAAAATATGGGAAGTGGGGGGGAAGACAAAAACCCCGAAAGTATAGGAAAACATGGGGGATATTGTTATTTGTGTGTATTTGTTTGTGTGTCCTGGGGCCCCTTCAATTACCAGCCTCGAACGTATCCCTATCCGCAAGATTGGCACGCCAAAAGGCGACGACAATCTGAGGGATTCGCCCCCAAAAAATGAGGGAATCCCTCAGACGATTTGAACGCCAGTGCAGTGCAGAGGGCCCTCTGCCCTCTGCACTGCTCCGCACTTGGATGCGGACCACCTTGCCGACAGGTAACCAAACAAAGCCAGCGAGAACTGGGTGTTTAAAAAAAACAAAACCAAAAAAAAGGAGGGAATCCCTAAGATTGGCATCGTGAGGAGGAGGTGCCCAGCACAGGGATAGGGACATGCTCCAGGCTTGTAATTAAGTCTAGGCCCGCGCGCACAGGCATCTGTCGGCCATGCGCAGAGGGGGTAGGGGGAGGGGGGAAGGCGTCTGAGAAGCACCCATGCTTCTTAGAGGGCGCGGGCCTCATCTATACACCCTAGGCGATGCTTGAGAAAACTTCAGTTTTCGGCCAGAGTCTCGATTATTCTTGATGTTTCAATGTAAATCCTAAGATTTTAATAGAGATGTTGGGTTTTCATTCAAGTTCTGAGACTATGAATTTCTTAACCCATGATTTCTTAAGCATTTCGCAGGGTGTAGATGTAAGGCCGGCACCTTCTGAGGAGCAGGCTCCTTCTAAGAAGCCCTCCCCCCTCCCTCCACCCCCTTGTGCGCACCACCAACTTTGGCCCCAGCCCGACGGAGCCCATCCGTGTGCATCGCCTCCCGGGATCCTGGGAAATCGGTTCCCTGGGCGGTCGATTCGTGGGCGCTGGCCAACATCTCGTCCGATGCAAAAAGCATGTCGAGATGCCCGTCGCACATGTGTACAGCTACACACATACACGCAGACACCCTCCAATGGATTGTTTCTGGGCTTCAGGGAGGAGTGGCGGTGCATCAATCACCACTGAGAGCCATCGACTTTATGCACCGCCGGCGCGGCCCTGAAGGTACATGCAAAATTCGTCGGAGGGTAACTGTGTATCGAAGACGCCTACGGCGAATCACCGCCGCCCCTTGCCTTTTGGAATCGCACATGGCCGAGCGTTGTGGCAAGAGCTCTGCCAATCTGTAGGAACATGTGTTCCCCAAGCCGTTGAGGAAACCCTTCGGGGAACACTTGGGGGAGGATGGCGGGGAAGATCAGGAGGAGGAGGATGAGGAGGAGGAGGAGGAGGGGGCATCTTGGAAGCCTCTGGGGGCACTCTTGGGGCCTCCTGGGAGCTTCCTGAGAGCCTCTTGGGACTCTTGGGGGCATCCTAGGGGGCCTCCTTGGGCCTCTTGGGGGCCTTTGGGGGCTTCTCGTGGGTCTCTTTGGCAGTCTTAGGGTATTCAAGGCCCGTCTGACGCCGTCGGGAGCCGTTTTGGGTGCCTCTTTGGGTCGATTTGGGACCCCTTTGGAGTGTTCCAGGGCCGTCTTGGAGATCATCTTGGGCGTCTTGGACGCCTCTTGGGCTGTCTTGGGGCCCTCTTGGGGCCGTCTCGGGGGCCTCTTGGGCCGTTATGGGGCCATCTTGGAGGCCTCTTGGGCGATTATGGGGCGATCTTTGGGAGCTCTTGGGCCGTCTCGGGCCGTCGGAAGGCCGAAAAGAAGCAAATGCACAACCTTTGAAAACCCGAATGCAAATGACTGATTTGGGCCTCGTCGGGCCCTCCTGGAGGTTCTCTTGGAGGCCCCTTGGGCCGTCTTGGAAACCTCTTGGAGGCCTCGTGGACGCGCGGATGGGGAAGCCGCGCCGTGTTCCCCCGCCCGCCCGCCGGGTGGACGGCGCTGCCGCCGCTGGCGCCGCGAGGCAGGGTGTTCGTACCTGCAGGCCCCCCTGAGGGGTGGGGTCTGCACGAGCCCGTGTGGTTTCACAGTCGAGGCGTTGACCTAAGGAACGAGGAACGAGGACGCCCAAGCAGAGAACTTTGTTCAATCGTATCTGCAGGGGACGGCATCCACAAAGGGATGACCTTACTGTGGGGCCTGTACCGTGGTGCTAATCTTTCGCCTCGTAGTTCATGTCAAAAAAATGCTCCATAAGTTGAACTTCGATTTGGTATCGAAAACCTCAGGGAAATCCAAGGCAAGCTGCGAAACAATGAAGGAACACGGAGCCCCTCCCCAACGAAAAGGGTTCCTTCTTCAGGGGCCCGACTGTAAGGTGGGCTTGGTCTTGAAGCTCGCTGAGGGGCAGCGGACGCGATCTGTGTCTCTGGGGCACTGGGGGAGAGGGCAGTGCTTTTGTAGGGCAAGGGCACGCATGGGCAGCCCAAGCGTGGGCAAGAGCAAACCTGAAATCAGAACTTCTCGCGAAGGGCGGCGGTCAGGATTGCTGTTGACCGACCAAGCGCGCCCGCCTGGCCCTGGAAACAACGCTGCCCTCCCAGCGACCTTCAACTTTGGTCGCACTTTTCGGGGCAAGCCTCGTTTTGGGCTGTGCTTGCACGACCGTTCCGGACAGCACACCCGGAGGAGGAGAAGTGCCCAGCTGGTGGGCCCCCCTCTGACCAAAGCGGTAGGCCGAGCCGATTTCGGCGAACGCGCTGCATTCAGTCACTTGCCTGCCCTCGACCTGCCGCAATGCGGACGGGCACATGTGCAGCGGGTCGCGTGCTCGCACCGTGACCTGAGCGGGTCGCGTGTTCGCATAGGCGCGTGCCGTTCATACCCCAAACGTCTTTCACGGCCTCTAGCGAGGCACTCTCTTCCCCTCTCAACTAGCAAAACTAATGCGAGCAACCACGCATAATACAAGATGACGCACATCGCGCGCGTGGCGTGATTATTATTCACCTCCTCACCAGCAGCTGTTTGTCGTCGTCAACGCCCAACGCTTATACCGCCCTAAGGGTGCGGGGGAATGCGGGCACCGTGCGAGGAGGTGATATCGCAATGTGTGACATGGCCCTCCACGGTGCTAGGGTCGTTTCGCTGGTTTTCTTCATATAAGAAACCAGCGTGCCCTTGAAGGGAATGGATGATGACGAAGAGGAGGCCGTGAAGTCTTCGTAGTATGTTCTTCTAGGCATGATGTGTTGTGCGTGGCAGCCCAGACGACTTGCAGAGGTGGATGATGTCTGTTGGATCTCCTAGGCATTCGCCGAAGCTGCATATAAAGGTTCGGGGGCGCGTTGTTAGCGCATGTCTTGGGTTCTCTACTCCTTTTGCGAGCAGATTCGCTTCTCCTTTGGTAATCGGTATGCATGCGGTCACGGCAGTATGTTCAGTGACATTCTCAAGGGTGCTGGGCGGCGCGATGACAATGAAGCCACAAGAGTACGCACGTAAGCACATGACCGCTTCTGGCTTGTAGTGCTGGAGCATTAGGGTGGACAGATCACCATGTAACATGTGGGACGTTGGCAGACAGTTCGAAGCAAGCTGGCCGAAATCACAGAAAGACTCGGCGTAAGTGGCGAACACAGGTGGAAGCGTGGCAGAAACAGATGGTGACTGAAAGCTGCGGTCACCAGGAAGGCACTCCTAGTGGTATAGCTTTCAACGTTTCGGAGACTTGAGGCGAGCCTGCTGGTTAGTTGGGCTTGGGAGGAGGCAGCGAGGTAGGTCCCATCCGGGCACGGTCGTCTTACACTCACCCCACGATGTCACACGCGAGGCTCTATGCAGTGCCTAGGATCGAGACAGACAGAGAGCGAGAGAGAGAGAGAGAGACAGAGAGAGAGAGAGAGAACTAGAGAGAAACATGCGGCGATGTGGTTATCAGGTGCTCTTTTGAGTTCTTCGTTTCTGCCATACATCTGCACGTCTTGGATATTCTTCTTTCGTCCGCACCTATGGCTTGTGAGGAGTCCAGAAGACGGATCCGAGCCCCGTGTCAGCATGAAAGAGTGGGTGAATTATTTCAGACTGGCGATTCTCCAGGCCATGGTGGAGAAGGCACCCCACGGATCTGCAGTCTCCCCCAGTTGGCGGAGGAGGTAGCTGGAGAGAGGGGTAGAGACTGCGGAGAAGAAAGCAGGTGGGAGAAGGTTGAGGCAGAAACAGACAAGGAGAGGACGGATGAGGGATGAGTGTCGGCAAAGGGAGGAGGTAATAATGCAAGGAGACGGGGTATGAAAGGATCGCATCGTGCTGACGCGGCGGAACTGGCCGACATGGAGCGACGTGGATATCGAAAGGCCGCCAGTCATTCAAGGTTGAGCGATCCACTCCGTGTCAGAAGCCCATGCCAGGGTCGTCACGACACGAGCTTACCGCAGAAAGCGAGGGAGATGCCATGCCCCCTTGAGGTCACAGGGGCTGCAGAGGCACCCGCGCACAACCCGGGTGCAGGCGGCCGCCCGGAGGGCGGCAGAGCCAACCGATGGCAGGCTTGCCACGTCATCATCTGCCCCCGTTCTTCGCTTCGGCGACGAGAGAGAACGGGTCCAGCTGCGCCGACATTGGCGCGTGATCTCTTCGCGTCAGGTCGCGTGTAGGCGCCCTCGTTTCCAATGTGGCGTGGCCTAAGCCACCGCGTAAGGTCGCTGGGTCATCTCGCGTAAGACCCGGTTCTGTTCGTCGCATATGTACCGGCGGCTTCATGGAGGGAGGAACGCCACGTCATGCATCCATCCGAAATCGCACATTGTTTATCCGTCAATGACGCGTGCACGATGGTTGGTTCCCACCCCGGGTCACCATTAAGTTCACCTGTCCGCGCTTACACACCAATGGCAACCTCGCTGGACAACACATCATGCAGCCCAGAGCAGGACACCTCATCCCAGCTGGCACACCCTGTGCTCACGCCCGCCCTGGCGGACTCGGCAGGTCGCAGAGTAGGCAGGTGAGCAGGGCGGACAGGCAAGCAGACAGGACCAATGACATGACGGAGGAGGGGATCACGAGAAGAAAGGAGGGAGAAGGGGAAGCAGGAGAGGAGGGAGAGTGTACGTACATACGGGTGTTCACCATGTTGGTGCAGAATGTATTGCGCTATGTCCAATGCCCCCATAAACACAAACGAATCAAAGAGCGGGCAGCAGCATCGGCATCAAGCGACATCCAACGCAACTTAACCATCAAAAGCAGCGTTCGCAAACTGCACCTCGAGGAGTCCTGCCATTCAACGATGCCGTCTACTAAGCGTGCGTGGCTTGCCAGCTCAAGTTTTGTCAGTCTCACATATTACGGCGACAAAACAGAATGCGCCATCTGTCTGGTAACGTGCCGTGGACCATGAGAATGAGAAGGGCCAGGAGGGGAAAATAGATGCACAGACACAAGTAAACTCGATTTCCAGGATACTATGGGACATCCAGGACAAGATGGGAAGGGGAGAGGGAGGAAGACGAGCATCCGAAGCCAGATCGAGAACTATGGAGCCCTGGGAGTCGTGCCTGCCTGCTTGGGCCCTCCTGGGCGCCGTGTATAAGGAATGGGGTCGACCCGCAGCTCGCACCCTGCACGTGCGCAGGCCTGCACCCTGTGGATCTCTTCCTCGAACTTCGAGTCTGAGGCTTCCACTTCTGCCTGGTGCCATCGTTTCGCTGGCCTGCCTGGGCGATTTCCTCGGTGGCTCCTCCCTGTGCAGCACTCTTCTCCCACCCCGGAGTGTTACAGAAGACCGGCTTTTTCAGTCAGGCCACGCCGTGTTGGAACCACATGCACACATTGCCGGCTCGCGCTCATGGGGGGGAAAAAAACGTGCGCAGGCCTGCACCCTGGACCAGACCGAGGGCATCGTGGACCAGATGCGCGCGGAGCCCCCCCGGCCCAGGGCGCACGACGGGGCCCCTCTCCACCACCGCGCGCCCCCCCCAGCCTGCGACAGGCCGGCGCCCGTGGCGACCGGCGGCGGCCCCAGCGCGGGCGGCGTCGAGGGTGGATCGGCTAGACTTTTGAGTCGGGCGTGTCCCCCTACAGGGGGATTCTCGACGAAGAATAACAGATTACGCCCCACAGATGCTCCAAAAAGGTGAAAAAATATTCCAAAACTGGTCCCCAGGCTATGTTTGGACTGTGGTTTGCTAATGTTTGCGGTGTATTTGTTTTTTTCCGTCGAAAGTCCCCCGAGCCGAACGCGGCGCGCCTCGCGCCGCGCGCGGGGAGGGCAGCGGGTCCGAGCGAGGCCTCGAGGAGCGGGGCTCCCTCCTCCTCCTCCTCCTCCTCCTCCTCCTCCTCCTCCTCCTCCTCCTCCTCCTCCTCCTCCTCCTCCTCCTCCTCCTCCTTCTCCTCCTCCTCCTCCTCCTCCTCCTCCTCCTCCTCCTCCTCCCTCCTCCGACCGAAGGCTAGACGTAAGAGGGCCCTCTCGCCGGAGTGGCCTTCTGGTGCGGGCCCAGCGGGGTCCCCCGAAGCGGCAGCGGCGGCCCGCGAGCCCAGGGTCCGGCCACGCCGCGTCCCCCGCCGAGCCTCGGGGGTGGACAGAACCCTCCTCCTCCGCCTCCTCCACCTCCTCCTCCTCCTCCTTCTCCTCCTTCTCCTTCTCCCCCTCCTCCACCGCCTTCTCCTCCTCCTCCTCCTCCTTCTCCTCCTCCTTCTCCTCCTCCCACTCCTCCTTTCCTCCTCCTCCTCCTCGGCGGCGAGCCCCGGGGGGGGGGGGGGGAGGGAGAAGGAGAAGGCCTTCTCGCGTGGGGGTGGGAATCGGGGGCGGACAGAACCCCCAACAGCGACACGTCGATTAGTGAATTGTCCGTCTTCGGTTCTCGAGAGGGCGCCGTGGCCGTGATTTTCCAGGCCTGCGCCCGCCAGGCTTGGGCCTCGGGTCGTTTTCGCTAAACCACGTTTTACTAAAGGGAGGTCTGTCCATCCCCGAGAGCCGCGCACCCAGGGCCTCTCTTGCCCAGGGTCGCTCTTGCGTGCCGCCGAGTGGAACGCCGCCCGTGGCCCAGAATCTGTCCATCGTTGAACGGTCCGTTGTTTCGTAAGCGGCCGATCGTTCAAGGTTGAACGATCCCCGCGGTGTCTGGAACCAGCGCCGAAGTGGGCGCGACACGGACCTGCCGCACCCATGGAGAGGGAGTCTGAACGGGAGGGCTTTCTTGCAGCCGCCGTTGATGCGTCCTGGATCTGCATTGGCCCTTCTCTTCCTCCTCCTCCTCACCCTCCTCCCTCCCCTCCTCGTCTTCCTGCCCCTCCTCCTGCCAGACCCGGGCCGACCAGGGTCGGGGGAGCGCAAGACCCGGGTTTGCCAGGACTCGGGTTCGCCATCGTTTTTTGACGACCGCGCCTCGGATTTTGACGAGGAGGAGTTTCGTGGGATGTCTGCAGCGGGAGGCCTCGTCAAAATGCAGGCTCGGCCTCGTCATTTTTGTTGACGACCTCGTCGGGGATTTCCGAGTCCCCTGTACCCGGGTCTTACGTCCCCCTGACAGGGTGGCACCGTCCTGCGGACTCCCTCAACTCCCGCCGCACAGATCGGCGGCGCGCGCAGGTGGGGCGCGAGCAGGGAAGGGGGGGCAGGTCTCCTCGGAAGGCGGCGGGGCTTCGGGGCAGGCCTGGAAGAGCTCTCGCCAGGAGGGGAAAAAACACACAGACACAATCAATCGTCGATCCCCAGAAAATGTGGAAACAAATATGGGAAGTGGTGTGGAAGACAAACACTCCGAAAATATCGGAAAATACGGGGAATCCGGTTATTTAATCGCTTCGCTCATTCCGCCGGCCCATATTGTCGCACCGTTGTGGGCTAGCCGAGTTTGGGGGCCTCTTGGGGGCCGTTTTGGGGTCGTCTTGGGGCCTCTTTTGGGCCTCTTGGGCGCCTCTCGGGGCGTCTTGGGGGCCTCTTGGGGGCCTCTTGGGGCCTCAATATGGGGAATCCGGTTATTTGTGTGTATTTGTTTGTGTGTCCCAGGGCCCCCTCATCTCGGCAAGCCGGGGAGGCCTTTCTGGAGCCTCCGTGGGAGGCCCACGCCCTCCGCCGCGCTCCTCCGGGCGCGCCGCCGGGGCAAGCCTCCCAGCGCCTCGAGCCGCGCGGCGCCCGAGGACGTCGAGAAGAACACGCCAGCGGCGGGGGCGGGGTAAGGAGGCCCTGCTCCGCGGGGGGGGGACTTTGCCGAGGACGCAGCGGGAGCGCACCAGCCTGCAGAGGCACGCGGGGGTCTTCGTTGCATCCTCCCCACCAGCTCGTCCTCCTTCCCCTCCCCCCTCACTCTCCTCCCACTTCTTCCCCTTCCTCGCGCTCCTCCTCCTCCTCCTCCTCCTCCTCCTCCTCCTCCTCCTCCTCCTCCTCCTCCTCCTCCTCCTCCTCCCAACCTCCTTCTCCTCCTATCCCTTCTCGTTTTCCTGCTGCTGTTCCTCCTGCCCCCTGGGAAGAAGAGAAAGGGATGGGAGAGTGAGACGCGAGGGGAGGAAGGGGATGATGAGTACACGCCAGTCGTTGACAGTAGGTATTTTTGGACTCTCAGATCCCAATCTACTTCAAGCGCCTCGCTACTTCAATAACTATGCTTCTTCTGTTTGTTTTGTTCTCCTTTGGGCGGGCCCGGACCCAATCTACTTGATCCGCCTTCCTGCTTCGTGTTTCCACCTACTTCTTCCGACAGACGGATAGCTGTTCGCGACGAGGGGAGTGAACTGCTAGTCATGGCAATTGATAAAGGAGATCTGCTGCTCCAGTCGCAGTGAGCCTGCTCAGTACAGCAGTGAGCGGACCCGTGGATGAGGGAAGGATGGACGGATGGCGGCCGCTGTGTGTGGCGAGTGTGCGCTGCGGGGACAGCAGGGGGTGAGAAGGCAGGGGGGGGAGGGAGGGAAGGGGGTGGGATGGAGAGAGCAAAGAAGATGAGTAAGACAATGATGTGGAGCATAAGGAGGACGCTCAATATCGCCCGACATCGCCAAACTGGCAGCAGCGGCAGCAAAAGCGGCAGCAGCATATACCTGCAGCATGTCACGGAACCTGGATGCACATGGACGCGTGAGCAGAGGACTTTGGCGAAGGGGCCAACGTTTTCGGCGAGGGACTTCGGTCCGTAGACGGGCTAACGGCGATGTAGGTAACGGCGATGTAGGTTTCGGTCGTGTGGGAACGCGTGGCTCGCGCTTTCCTGCAATTCGCTGCGTAGTGCTCGCTCGATCCATTCGCAGACCGGACGTGGGAAAGTGCGGTCCGTGATTTCCTGCACCTCGGTTCCCAACATCACCGTTTAGCAGCATCGCCGCTACAGCCGGGGCCCTGCAGAAGGAACCCTTTTCGTTGGGGAGGGGCTCGGTGTTCCTTGATTGTTCTACAGTTTGCCTTCTGTTTTCCTGAGGTTTTCCATGGGAAATCGAAGTTCAACTTATGGGAGAAAGGGGCCCCGTTCCTTGTTTAGGGTTCCTTAGGTCAAGGCCCCGACTGTAGGCCGGCTTTGAAACGAGGAGCATCCTGGATCCTCGAGCAAGAGGAACACGCGCAAGACCACACGCTGCACGGCAAACGGAGATCCGAGCGACGGCAGGTCAGCGGCACGCCCCGCAGAAGGCTCGGGCGCCGCCGCGCCGGCGCCCGTGAGCGGCCGCCCGTGGCCGAGACGGCCCGCGGCGAGACGGCCTGCGCCGGGGGGTGGAAGTACTCCTCCTCCTCCTCCTCCTCCTCCTCCTCCTCCTCCTCCTCCTCCTCCTCCTCTCCTCCTCCTCCCTCCTCCTCCTCTCCTCCTTCCTCCTCCTCCTCCCTCCTCCCCTTCTCCCTTCCCCCTCCTCCTCCTCCTCCTCCTCCTCCTCCTCCTTTTCCTCCTCCTCCTCCTCCTCATGGGGCCGCGTCTGGGGGGGTGGTTGGCTCGAGGTCGGAGGCTTGAGGTTCGAGGTTTTCGGACGTTCTCGGCGGTCGTCCAGCATCGGGATGCTCTCCAACAACTGCGCCTCGCCGAGAGCGTTCCGGGGGTGCCCAGATCGTCCCCAATGGCCGCCGCAGGCCTGAGTTGTAGTCCGGAAACCTTTCGGGACGGGGATAGAATGCATTGATCCCCAATCGCCCACTCAGCGTCGGTGGCCCGCCCGTGCAGGGGCTGCCGGCCGCCATGCTAAAAAGGGGAAGCGCGGCCGAGACGGCCCGCACTTCCGTTTTTTATGCAAACGCGGAAGTCCTTCGCGGAGCAAAGTCCGTACCAATGACACGCCATCGTCAGGAGCCCAGCGCGTTGCTGTTGGAGAAGCACAAGGCCTTTGGACAGAAAACCAATGGACAGAAGCGAAGGAGCAGCACGCCGATGGGCTCCCAACGGCTGCGTGTCACTGATACTATTGGTCCCTGCCGAGTTCCTCAGGGGCAACGTGAGGAGGGGATTGGCTTAGTGGGGGATTCATCGATGCCCACTCGCTCGCTCATCCCCGTGCGGGCTCGCTGTTGAGGGCCTGTCGCCGATCTATCGGCGATGCATCCCCCCTGATCCAGTCCCCTTCCATCGTTTACCCTCAGCCTGCGCCTCTCGCGCGAGGCGTGGCGGCAGTTTTGAAGTTACCGCCCCTCGCAGTCGGCGTTTCGATGTCGTGCGTGCATGCACTTCTCGCCAAACCATGCATGCCCGTAATGTGTTGTCGTGATGAGTACCTTGCTCCTGTTATCGAACACGCCTACGGAGAATCACCGCCGCCCCCTGTCCTTTCGGAAGCGCCTATGTGGCCGAACGTTGTGGCCAGATGCCTGCCAAGCTATCGGACCATGTGTTCCCCAAATCGGGTCGGAAAGCGTTCGGGGAATGCGGTGGGGGAGGAGGAATGGGAGGAGAGGGAGAAAGAAGGAGAAGGGAGGAGGAGGCCTCTTGGGAGCCTCTTGGGCTACTCTAGGGTTTTATTGGGCCATCTGTGGGGTCTTGGAGGCATCTTGGGACTGTCTTGGAAGCCATTTTGGGGCTATATTGGGGCTCCTTGGGGCCATCTTGATCATCTTGGACGCATCTTGGAGGCCATCTTCGGCCACGTTGGCCGTCTTGGAGGCGCCTTGGGACCGTCTTGGAGGCCATCTTGTCCGTCTTGGAGGGATCGTTCGTGGATTTTGAGCTCTGTATGGTCCCTCCGTCGCTGTTGAGGCCCTAAAGCACTAGGTCAAAGTGTTCCCCGAACCAGTTTGGAAAGCTTTCGGGGAACACGTGGAGGAGGAAAACGAGAATGAGGAGAGGGATGAGACAGGAAAAAGAGAAGGAATCTAATGATTGGATGGGAAAGGCAGGCGACATTCCTTTACTGCCTTTGAGGAAGTGCTTCCGTGGCGAATGGGCTCACTGCCTTTTTGGAAACGCTTGTGTTACCGAGAGCTGGGCTAGAGTTTGGCCAAGCTGTCGGACCATCTGTTCCCCGAGACGGTTTGGAAAGCTTTCGGGGAACACGTGGGGGAGAATGAACATGAAGAGGAAGAGGAAGAGGCGTCGGAATGGCGAGAAAAAAACACATGCGAATATCCTTCAAACACTTGGGGAACAAAAACTGATGTTGGTCTCTTCGGGCCCTCCTGAAGGACCTCTTGGAGGCCTCTTGGGCCATCTTGGAGGCCTCCTAGGGGCCTCTTGGGCCGTTTTGGGCAATATTGACGCCATGTTAGGCCGTCTTGGAGGCATCTTGGGCCGTCTTGGAGGCAGCTTGGGGGACGAAGCTATCGGACCATGTGTTCCCCGAGTCGGTTTGGAAAGCCTTCGGGGAACACGTGGGGGAGGAAGAGGAAGAGGAGGAGAAGGAGGAAAAAGGAGAAGGGGGAGGATGCCTCCTCGGAGCCGCTCGAGGTGCTCTTTGGGCTCCATCGGGCCATCTCGGGACCGCCTTCTTGGAGGCCGAGGCCACGTCAGGGGGCTATCTTGGGCTCTTGGGGTCCTGTTGGGGCCTCTCGGGGGCCTCCTGTGGGCCCCTTGGGGGCCCTGTTGGGGCCTCCTGTGGGCCTCTTGGGGCCCTCTCGAGGTCTGAGCCTCCTCCTCCTCCTCCTCCTCCTCCTCCTCCTCCTCCTCCTCCTCCTCCTCCTCCTCCTCCTCCTCCTCCCCCTCCTCCTCCTCCTCCTCCTCCTCCTCCTCCTCCTCCTCCTCGCCTGGGCCTCTTGGGGCCCTCTCGGGGCCTCTCGGGGGCCTCCCTGGCCGTCGTGTGGCGCTCCTGGCCGGCCCCCCGCGGGAGCACCCGGGGCGCCCCGGAGGGCCTGCCTCTCGGGGCCTTTTTTGAAGGCGGTCGTTCAAGAGAGAGGGGGTCCTCCTCCTCCTCCTAATCCTCCTCCTCCTCCTCCTCCCTCCTCCTCCCTCCTCTCCTCCTCCTCCTCCTCCTCCCTCCTCCTGCTCCTGCTCCTCCTCCTCCTCCTCCTCCTCCTCCTCCAGCGACATGTCGGCACAAAGCTTTCGTCGGTCGCTTGGTGACGTCAGGTCGTCACGCACACAGTCTTTCCCACACTATGACGGGGGTCGCCGCCTTCAACCCCTTGAGCGCGAATCGTGCCGACCGCATCGAGGATTTGGAATACAAATTCAGGGGGTTCGACGTGTCTATGTCCATCGGGACCCAGCTGAGGGCTCCAGCGGATGGCCAAGTTACGAGGAGAAGAATTGGAAAATCGGTACTTATCCAGGCTGGATGGCTAACAAAGCAGCTGGGTGCTCTATCCTCCTGGGATCTAGAATGAAAGAAACGAGCATCGTCGGCCATTCTCTCCTGCCACCTCGTTCTCTACTTGGAAGGGGACTAGGACTTCGTCTCAAACTATGCGGGCTAGATATTTTGCCCATCGCCGCCTACTTCCCTCCGAAAGCCGAGAGTGATTGCAGCCAGGCCGAACTATTTCAAGACGGTGGAGCTGCTGACAAAGTAGGGCTCGTGGTAGGACTACGCCGATCTTAGCAGTGGACTTGAATGACGGGATGGGCATTGATGAGGAGATGGGTGGGCTTTCTGGTACGAGTGTTCTTCGTGAGTCGGTAGCTTCGAGGGAACTTTACCAGTCTGAGTCTGGAAAAATGCTCAGGAAGGTACTCGAGGAGTTCGATTTCGTTTTCGTCGACGGAGGGCACCCCTTCACTCCGACCTGGACAGGACCTCAGGGAGAGCAGAAAAACTTGATATGCTTTTTGTTCCTCGTG